CCCCCCCCCCCCCTCCCCCCCTCTAAAATCAATTCTCTCCTGGGGAACGTCTTCGTGAGCCTCTTATGGTTTCAGGATAGTTCAAATCCTATGATGCTCCGATTTAATGCTCACCGATGATCTGAGCTATGGGGCAAGTTTGTTTTCCTCAGAATCTTTTTGAACATTTCGAGAGCATATGTTTGAACATTTAGAGTGCATATGAACATATATTTACGACAGGTCGCCTCCGAGGGGATAAATCACCATGTCGAATATTGCAATTTTGTTCCTGCCTCTCGCGTTCTCTTCTCTTCCCGCTGTCCTACCTTTCGTGTCTCCCTCCTCTCAAGTGAATAATGAAAACAATGTTGACAAATGCTGGGCAGTGAACCCACAGCAAGATATAGAAATGGTTGCGGCCAGGTGTCTCAAAGACAAATCGGAGCACGAAAGTGAACCCCTTGGCTTGGCGTGGACAGATTCGATTGTCTTGTTTCATCACTGTTTCATCACTCTCATGATAGATTCGCAGGTCCTACAGAGATTTCATCCGCATGTGCGGATTTCATAGCGCTGAATGTGGCATGCGCAGATGACATCGTAAAGTCCTGTGATGAGGCAGGACTGTTCGACCAACCATAAGACCAAGCATAAGTCCAACCGCAAGACCATTGAAAAGACTGGAGACTTGCTTTGCGTAACCCTGCTTTCTTGTGCAAAGAAGGACAAAGAACATTGGCCACAAATTATTGAATGCACGCTTTTTTGTGTGACTTGTGCGAAGGCCTTCTTTACTGAAGACACTGCCTTGTGCCTTTCAACATGGACTGCGAAGGAAGACTTGACACCAAAGTGTGCAGGAGTTTTTGCTGGCATGCTTGATTTTGTTATCTACTTTCATAGACACCGCCTTTTTTGGGGCCAAGGCATCCTTTGCATGGGTTCTTTATTAGAGATGCCTGATGACTCTTGATCATGACAGGTGCTAGATTGGGCTTTGCCAAAGAGTCAGGCGGGATGAACTAGACCATGTACATTGACCTGCGGAGACCATTCATTTCTGCAGCCGCCATATGTATTTGTTTCTGCACAGTGAATTAGTGACAGGGTCAGGATTCTTGCAGTGCAGCAAGAAAAGCAGGCCTCAGACGATGAAGCGCCAACCGATGAGCTGGGCATGTCAGAAAAGGACTAACCTGCAGATTCATTGCCATCCATACAGTCGTAAAGCCGATTTCTGTATATATATATATATTTGTATTAGATCAAGTCGAGGGCGTAGGCATTGAGAAAGTTCGGTTGGATCATACTGCTGTGATCAAGATGCAATCTCGAAGGACTATGCCGAGAAGCAAGAGTGGCGGGTGACTCTAGTTGCAACTTGAGGGCTGCTTGCAAATTGGAGTTATTTACAGCCTTCGGCATGCCGCCGGCCACCAGCTCGAGCCCGCATTGGCAGGCAGCTTAATGATACAATACCCTGCTCAATCATACTTGTTGGTGCATTGGAGGTGCACATTTGGCTGGGTGAGTTTGTTGATGTTTATTTCAAGGTTGTTTGACCATGAAATGGAACAAATCCGAATCAGAGGTTGTCTATTCTGATCCAGCGATCCGAATCGGCATGTCTCAGTCGAATCACCTAAGAGGAACCAAGTGAAACCAACACAAGCAATGCGAACCAAGACTATCCACAAAACATGACCTTGAAAACGATTCTTCTTCCAAGCTACTTGGCCGTGTGCATGTTTTCCTTGTCAGATCTTTTTTTCGACCATCTCGAGGGATTGCGACACGCACCAGATATTCTTTTTCACACACAGAAGGCTTCAAAGCGACCGAAGAATTTCTAGATCTGGCATGATTTGTCGTTTTTTTCTCCAAACCGTTTGAAATGAAAGACCCAGAATGACATCGAACAACAATACCCTGCTCAATCAGACTTGTGGGTGCATTGGAGTTGCACATTTTGCTGGGAGAGTTTGTTGCTGTGGATTTCAAGCGAAGTCGTTTTACAATGAAATGGAACGAATCCGAATCAGAGGTTGTCTATTCTGATCCAGCGATCGACATGTCTCAGTCCAATGGTTGTCTATTCTGATCCAGCGACCTACTACCTACTACCTACTACGTACCACCTACTACCTACTACCTACTACCTACTACCTACGACCTACGACCTACTACCTACTACCTACTACCTCCTACCTACGACCTACGACCTATGACCTACGACCTACTACCTACTACCTACTACCTACTACGTACCACCTACTACCTACTACCTCCTACCTACTACCTACTACCTACTACCTACTACCTACTACTGCTGCTA